GGCACCTTTGCATCCTGATCGGTCCTCCGCGGCACGCGTGACCAGCGAGGCAATCCTCAACTTATGGTCAAAAACTTTAGTACCCCCGAAGTTTTTGCGAGAAGTAAGTGTTCGGGAAGTGTAAGCTCAAAAAGCACACGCCCGCGAATGGTGCAGTATGATGTGCGACAACGGCGGAGGGCGACGTTTTCAGGGGCCAATGCGATTACATCAAACAGCGTCGCCCACATCGAGAACTGGTCGGATCTTCCCCAGATGTTGCGACCAGCAAGACTGTCAGCGACATGTCTGTCAGTCTTCGGGTTCGCTAGCTTACTTCGCCCCTGCGCAATGCTGGATCTTGGTGTATATTGTGCCACTGCAGCGTATTCAACCCCCGATTGAATTCCAGGCGGGTGGTCTGAATGCCCTTGCTCGCAAGCTGTTACAGTAACCAAACAAGGTCACATGCCGTGCGATGGCGCCAGACGGCACGATGGATCTACGCAGCGATTCGGGCTACAGAGAACCAGCCGGGGAGGAGGGCGACGAGGCGAAAGGTTATCGCCTTCGTCGATGCAGCCTACTGCGCCCTGCATCGACAGCTTGCGTAAACTTCATTGTCTCCAAGTTTGATCCAGCTACGCTGCTAAAGCTGTCGCTGCTGCGCGCGGCGTGGGCGAGTGCCATCCAGAATTAGTGGCGCTACGTGAGCTCATGGGGGGCAGTTGCCCCCCCGTTGGCTCGAGCATCTCTGTGAGCGAGGCGGTCTGTGTATCGAGGTGCCCCTTGCGATTGCCGTCGACTCCGCGTGCGAGTCTCTCGCCAGCAAAGATCTGGAAGCACCTGCGGAGGAGGCGCTGCTGGGCCAAATTTGTTGGCAGAGAGATTTTTTGGACCTCGGTGCCATGAATAACGCGCAGTGTTGTGGCACTCGGGATATAGCGGCGGATGGACACGCCAAGGGCTCCATCGACCGGGACTTGCTCTTGCGTGTCATGGGCGGATATCAGAGTTGCACGCGCGAGGTAAAGTCATGCGCGCCCCATCGTGGTAAGACTCCCATGGGGGCTCTTTCTGGGGCTGCTCCGAGCTCCGGTGGAACCGCGATTGCTCAGGATTGAGCGCATGCCCGCGCTCCTCTTGTTTTTTTTCTGTGTCGTGGGACCGCGGCTGCCTGGAAATGGGCGCGTGCCCGCGCTCCTCGAGCCAGCCTTCAGTTGGGAATTTATATATTACACCCGCTGTTAGTGGCGCGGACGCGCGACGCTGCCAATCCGTCGGCCCCGTGTGGGATCAGCTCCGTCGGCCTCTGTCAGGGCTTTCCAGGCCCTTCCGGCCTTCCCAGCGCAAGCTTTATTTTCTCAGCTCACTTCTGCCCTGCTACACTTTGGTGCAAGGTTGGCTGGGTCATTGTAACATGACCCAGTCATTCGCACTTGGCCTTATTGTTTGCTTCGTTGCAACCGCTGTAACCGAAAGAGTCTGTTACCTGATTTCCAAGTTGTTGCCTGGGGCCGCTTACATGGACCAGTGCGATCGGGCTTCGTTCCTTCCTATCGACTTTGAGGGAACGTCCCCACGGGGGGAAGGAACTAACAGGCTCGCCTTCCCGCTTCTGCTCCGGCTCAGGGCATCGCCGCCCAATCCGCCAGAGCGGCGGCCTGCCTGCTCTCGATTTGAGGCGCTGGGAGGAACAAAGGGCCTTCGTCTCTTCCAAGCGCCATATCTGACCTTCACCCCCGCCATTCACTAATACCATCATGGCGTGGCGCACGCCTTTCTCACTGGCTCCTGGGGGCCCTTCTCGCCACGTCTGGATATGGCTTGGAATCGTGGCCAGAAAGCGCTCCAGGAGGGGTTTGGGGAGTCGGCTTTTGACGAAGGGGGGCTCTCTCATTCTGGCGCCGTTTGGAAATCGCGACGGGCGTTTCCGGCATGATTTCGGGCCCGCATATTTTTCAGCATTGAGTGCGGACGCCGCCAATAGTGGTTTCGCGCGCGTCGTCCGCCATTGTGGCCATCGAAATGACGCGGCTGCAGCGCGGAGGAGCGTGGGAACTGCAAACATGTGAGGAGACGGCGGGTTTCAAATGCATCCGTTTCGGACGGGAGAGGTCGGGGCTGCGTGGCCAGGCCTGTCACTGCATAGGCTGATTCTGGCTGTTGTCCACAGGGGTGTTTGTCGGGGTCGTAAGGGATGTGGTTGCTCGTTCGTGTACGTAGGGCTGGGCGCACAACGCTTTGGGAATAGTGGGGTCAGAGGAAGAGGAGGAGAAAAAAGGGGAGGAGGAAATGGAGGAGGAGGAGGAGTTGCAGGAGGAGGGATAATGATACTTATAATGCGAATTGTCATGATATCACTAAGAATGATGCTACACATCATAACAAGCAAGGTATTACTAAGCATACTCAGGATAACACATACAGTATTAATAGCAGTCCTAATAATGATGTCAGTGATGCTAACAGTCATATGAATCATGATATCATGACGAATACCAGTCGTAACAAAAATGATAAGAATACTACCACGTATAAGGACAACAATACTAAATATTGTGTTACAAGAAAAAGAATAATAGTAACACACATACTAATATTCATAATAACCGTGGTAAGACAAATCATATTAATACTACTCATTTGAGGGAGTTTCTGTGGAACTCACGTCATCCTCACCCCCGGCGCGAAGAGCACGAGTCCAGAGCGGCCTCCGGCACCGTTTCCGGACGGATCCGGACGGATCCGCTGGATCCGGGGACGAATCCCAAACCGGCGCCCTCGCCTGAGACATCCCCGCAAAACCGGCCCCGGGGGAGGTGCCCAGAGGAGCCCAGAGCGGCCTCTGGCACCGTTTCCGGACGGATCCGGACGGATCCGCTGGATCCGGGGACGAATCCCAAACCGGCGCCCTCGCCTGAGACATCCCCGCAAAACCGGCCCCGGGGGAGGTGCCCAGAGAAGCCCAGAGCGGCCTCCGGCACCGTTTCCGGACGGATCCGGACGGATCCGCTGGATCCGGGGACGAATCCCAAACCGGCGCCCTCGCCTCAGACATCCCCGGAAAACCGGCCCCGGGGGAGGTGCCCAGAGGAGCCCAGAGCGGCCTCCGGCACCGTTTCCGGACGGATCCGGACGGATCCGCTGGATCCGGGGACGAATCCCAAACCGGCGCCCTCGCCTGAGACATCCCCGCAAAACCGGCCCCGGGGGAGGTGCCCACAGGAGCCCAGAGCGGCCTCCGGCACCGTTTCCGGACGGATCCGGACGGATCCGCTGGATCCGGGGACGAATCCCAAACCGGCGCCCTCGCCTGAGACATCCCCGCAAATCCGGCCCCGGGGGAGGTGCCCAGAGGAGCCCAGAGCGGCTTCCGGCACCGTTTCCGGACGGATCCGGACGGATCCGCTGGATCCGGGGGCGAATCCCAAACCGGCGCCCTCGCCTGAGACATCCCCGCAAAACCGGCCCCGGGGGAGGTGCCCACAGGAGCCCAGAGCGGCCTCCGGCACCGTTTCCGGACGGATCCGGACGGATCCGCTGGATCCGGGGACGAATCCCAAACCGGCGCCCTCGCTTGAGACATCCTCACAAAACCGGCCCCGGGGGAGGTGCCCAGAGGAGCCCAGAGCGGCCTCCGGCACCGTTTCCGGACAGATCCGGACAGATCCGGTGGATCCGCGCCCCGGGGGAGGTGCCCAGAGGAGGAATGAGGAGGAGGAGGAGGAGGAGGAGGAGGAGGAGGAGGAGGAGGAGGAGGAGGAGAAGATGATGGAGCTGCGGGGTGGAGGAGGACAGACGGAGGCAAGAGAAGGATGGAGGAGGAGGAGGAGGAGGAGGAGGAGGAGGAGGAGGAGGAGGAACCTCATCCTCACCCTCGCCAACAAGCGCACGCACCTTCTTCTATATACAGAAACTCCCGATCAACCGCAGAGCGGCCGGCTAGTAATCATAGTGCTACTAATAGTATGCGGTGGCAGTGGCGCCGGCGATGCTTCAATAGGGTCGCCGACAACACTGTGAGTTACTCCGTGGATATCCAGCGTTCATGGTGTCAGAAATTTGCACCCCCTGTGGGCAACATGTCTGTGCAGAGGGGGAATTGTGTCATACATACTGATGGGGGACCCGTGCAAACAAGTGCTCATCAGCAGAGTGGTACAGCGAAGCCCATGTGCCGCTACCGACTGGGACAGTGTCGTTTCCAATTTGCATGGCGTGACGATTTATCAGCACGCCAATATCTTCCTTAACCGCCGAGGCCATAGCATTGGAAGAAGCAGTGGACTTGATATGGGAGCTCTTGAGAACATAATCATGCGATGCTTAAACCTGCAACGTCAGTGGCATGCCAGTGCAACCGCGATTCATGCCTCCGGGAAGAAAAACACAAAGGAGAAGAAGACGAAGAAGAGGAGGAGGCGGAGGAGAAGGAGGCGGAGGAGGAGGCGGCGGAGGAGGAGGCGGAGGCGGAGGCGGAGGAGGAGGCGGAAGCGGCGCGGAGGGGAAAACAAAATGAGGCGCGGAGGAGGCGGAGGGGGAGGAGGAGGAGGAGGAGGAGGAGGAGGAGGAGGAGGAGGAGGAGGAGGAGGAGGAGGAGGAGGAGGAGGAGGAGGACGACGAGACGTGACGAGAAGAGAAGCGGTTACCAATATACAGTCGGGGCCCTGAAGAAGGAACCCTTTCGGTTGGGGAGGGGCTCCGCGTTCCTTAAGTGCTTCACAGCTTCACAGCTTGCCTCAGGCTTTCCCTTAGGTTTTCGATACGGAATCGAAGGTTAACTCATGGAAAAAAAATGGGCCTCGTTCCTTGTTTAGGATTCCGTAGGTCAACGCCCCGACTGTATGAGAATCAGGAGGAGGATGGACGAGGAGGAGGAGGAGGGAGGAGGAGGACGAGGAGGAGGAAGAGGAGAGGAGGAGGAGGAGGAGGAGAGGAGGAGGAGGAGGAGGAGGAGGAGGAGGAGGAGGAGGAGGACGAGAAGAGGAAGCGGCTGCCAATGTAGATGCGCACGGCAGGCAGAACATGAGGCTCGGGCGGATGGTCCTCACGAGGAGGCCCGCGCCGCCCCCCTCCTCGGCCAGGCAGCGGCTCCCAGCAGGGGAGGAGGAGAGAGGAGGAGGAGAGAGGAGGAGGAGGAGGATGATGATGATGAGGAGGAGGAGGAGGAGGAGGAGGAGGAGGAGGAGGATGACGAGGACGAGGAGGAGGAGGAGGAGGAGGAGGAGGAGGATGAGGAGGAGGAGGAGCAGAGGAGCAGGAGGAGGAGGAGAGGAGGAGGAGGAGGAGGAGGAGGAGGAGGAGGAGGGGGGTTGACAGCAGCGAGTTCCCAGTCGTCGTCGCCGCTGTCGTCGTCGTCGTCGTCGTCGTCGTCGTCGTCGTCGCCGTCGTCGTGGTGTGTTGTCGTTGCCGTCGTCGTTGCCGTCGTCGTCGTCGTCGTCGTCGTCGTCGTCGTCGTCGAGTCTTTGTCGTCGTCGTCGTCTTCGTCGTCGTTTTCGTGATTTTGATTCTTCTTGGCCGCCGTCATCGTCCCTGTCTGGGCTGACGGGGAGTGATGGCTTGATTGGCTCGACAGGGGGGGTACCACCTAGTGTCACTTTGGGCTCATCGTTGCCGTCGTCTCTGTTCCTCGTGGCGGCTACTTTGCCTCGAGGCTGGGGCGACTGACGATGAGCCGGGCTTAGCTGACGGCGGAGTTCGCTTTCCGTTCCCCAAGCAATGCTTGCATGCTTAAGCGATTTGTTTTCTCTTGTTGGGGGGGGGCGTCACCTTCATCAGCCGTCGTCATCCTCAGGTATGGCGTTTGGTGACACCCCTGTGCTTCGAGTGCTTCGTGTGGCGTTTTGTCACACTTCTGTGCTTCGAGCGTTTCGAGTGGCGTTTTGTCACACTTCTTTTCCTGACAACGCGTCCACCTGGACGCAAGGCTTCTGTCTGTCAGTCTGTCTGCCTGTTGGGGGGGGTAAGGGACTTCGTGTGCGAACTGGCTCTCGGTATCGTGAGCGCCCGTTGGCGCTTCCTCGGTGCTTTGCGGTGCTCTGTGGCAGGCGCCCAGTGGTGCCCTGTGGTGCACAGTATTTCGAGTAGGGGATCAGCTACATAATTGATTTACGCCATAATTTATTGTCTCGCCGAACCTACGACAATATCTTCTGTGCCGTAGATCTACGCGCTCCTTGCATATTCGACGGGAGCGTAATTTTGGGGTAATTCAATTATGTAGACGATCCCTTATTCGAATGTTGCACCACATACAGTTCAGTTCCCTAGACAGAGCTAGAATCTACCCCTCTGCCGATTTTTGGGCTCATCCGCTCCCCTCCGCGTATTTCTTCCGCTGTTCATTTTGCACGATCGTCCATCATGTATATCAAGTAGGGATGCCTGCCAGTCCTGGTATCGACTCCCTCACCTTTGTCAAATGTCAGCATGTGGTGCACATGCGCTGATATACTGAGTATTTTCTTTCATCTTCTCTTGCAACAACTACCGTGCGGGTCACGCTCGAGCCGCCGCGCGCGCATGTCAAAACCACTTGGTAATAGCGTCTCTGGAGTCGACTAGAACCTCAGCGCGCGCGTAGTGCGCGTGGTCCTAGTTGGTAGGTGTTTGCAAACGTTGGCCCCAAACAGTGGGATCGTCTTCTCGGGGTGTGCCACCTATTTTACATAACTCCTGAATCAAACTGACTTCTTCCACCCGCATCTTGTTGGCAAAGTTAATCTGGCCGTGATCTCAACGAATGCACGGCCGCGGGGAACATCACGCGCGCAGGCAATTCCTTTCTGCAGGTCGCGAATCTGTGGTGGCGATGGTTACGGCCGCGACTCCAACGACGATGGCATGAGAGTGGTGATGACGCTGACGCTGATGTTGATAGCAGTGGTGATATGGACAATGCGATATCGACGGCGACGGTGGTGATGGTGATGAAGCTGATGGTGATGAAATCTGATATCCAAGATGACGGTGGCGATTACGATGACGACGGGACTGGTGATGATGGTAAGGAAGTGCCCGCACGCAGACATTCGATTATATTGGTGACGGCATCGACGATGACGAAATCGATGATGATATTGATGCTGATGATGATGGTGGTGGTCGTGGTGGTGATGATGTTGATGAGGACGATGGTGATGATGATGACGATGATGATGATGATGGTGGTGGTGGTGGTGTTGATGGTGATGGTGAAGATGACGATGATGGCGATGACGATGATGACGATGATGGTGGTGATGGTGATGATGATGATGATGGCGATGCTGATGAGGATGATGATGATGATGATGTGGATGATGAGGATGATGATGAGGATGATCATGCTGATCTCATGATTAGGATGATGATGCTGATGATGAGGATGATGATCATGATGCTGATAATGCTGATGATGATGGTGGTGGTTGTGGTGGTGGTTGTGATGCTGATGATGATAGTGATCGTGATTGTGATGTTGATGGCGTTGATGTTGTCGATGGTGATGGTGTTGACGACCGTGCTGATGATGATGCTTATGCTGATATTGATGATGAGGATGACGAGGATCATGATGACGAATCTGATGATGATATTGATGATGCTGATCATGACGATGATGACTATGATGATGACGATCATGATAATGATAATGATCATGATGCTGCTGAGGATGAGAACGAGGATGAGCCTGAGGATGATGATGACGACGATGACGATGATGATGATGACGATGATGACGATGGTGTTGGTGATGATGATGATGATTCTGATGTCGATGCTGGTGCTGATGTTGATGTGGATGCTGCTGCTGAGGATGAGGATGAGGATGAAGATGATGCTGCTGATGATGATGATGCTGATGATGATGATGATGATGATGATGATAGTGATGATGGTGATGACTATGATGGTGATGATGATGATCATGATGATGATGCTGATGATGATGATGATGGTGGTGGTGGTGGTGATGATGATGCTGCTGATGATGATGATGATGATCTGCTGCTGCTGCTGATGATGATGATGATGATCTGCTGCTGATGATGATGCTGATGATGCTGCTGGGGATGATGATGCTGATGATGATGGTGATGGCTATGATGATGATGATGATGATGATGATGATGATGATGCTGATGCTGTTGATGATTATGTTTATGTTAATGATGATGATGTTGATGATGATGATGATGATGATGATGCTGATGATGATGATGATGATGATGATGTGATGATGGTTGTGGTGATGCTGCTGCTGCTGCTGCTGATGATGATGATGATTTCTGATCTGCTGCTGCTGCTGATGCTGATGCTGCTGCTGATGATGCTGCTGCTGATGACGATGATGGTGATGGTGATGGTGATGGTGATGATAATGATGATGATGATGATGATGATGATGATGATGATGATGATGATGATGATGATGATGATGATGATGGTGATGGTGATGGTGATGGTGATGGTGATGGTGATGGTGATGATGATGATGATGATGATGATGATGATGATGATGGTGGTGGTGGTGGTGGTGGTGATGATGATGGTGGTGGTGGTGGTGGTGGCGGCGGCGGCGGCGGCGATGATGACGTTGATGTTGATGTTGATGTTGATGTTGATGTTGATGTTGATGTTGATGTTGATGTTGGTGTTGATGCTGGCCCCAGGTGGGGGAGCGGGAATCCTGAGCTGGCGGGGGTGCCCCCCGGCGCCCCCCCTTCCCCACTTGGCCCCAGGTGGGGAGCAGGGCATCGTGGGGTGGGCCAGGTGCCCCCCCCTCCCGTGAGTCATTTCCCACCTGGCCCCGCGGTGGGAGACGTGAAACCTCGGGGTGGACCTGGGCCCGCCCCCCCTCCCGTGGGCCATTGCCCACCCACCTGGCCCCAGGTGCGACAATTTCAAGCCTGGGGTGCCGTGCGATGCGCCCCCTGGGGGGTGCCCTGCGGGCAGGGGGGGAATGGCAGGGGTGACCTAGCTCACACGTCGTGGGCCCTTTGGGTAAGTGAACCGCCAAGGGGTCGGCGGACATGTCAGCTCGGGTTCCCCCTCTTGGGACTGGCTTGGGGGCCTCTGGAGCCCTCTTGGGGGGCCTCCTGGACGAACTTCGGGCCCTGTTGGGCCGTCATCGGACCGTCCTGGGACCCTCTTGGGCTGTCTTAGGGCGGTCTTGGGGGCCTCTTGGATTGTTTTAGGCAGTCGGAAGCCCGAGAGCGCGGTGACGCCCAAATCCTTCAAAACTCCCAACCCCCTTCAACAAAGAGGACGAACATCAACAAGAATATCCCTGGGCCTCGGGTACTTTTCGCCCGGGGACCCCAGGGGCCGCCCCGCGCGCGCGAACTAGAACATCTTTTTACCTGTTACTGGAGACCTTAACACGCCTCTGGCCCGTTGGGCCGGCGAATTCGTCTCCGCTCCTACTGACTGAGGGCAGGAAATTTTGGGTTTCGCATTGCCCGCCGATTGGAGGCACAGTCCATTGACTAGGGGCATGTAATTGTAGTATAATCGTTGTGGGCCGATCTGATCTCAAGTGGGTTATCTACAGTAGGTCTGCTAAGTTGGACAAGCCCCTAGGTGTTGGCGGAGCGTCGGAACGCCGCTGCTGCATTCCATGAGCCCGTGGCAGCCGCGCTCGGATGCAGAAGGGCGGGCGTGACTACAGGCCACAGTCCCGTCCCTCCAGCGATCTCGTTGGCACACCGTCAGTAACTTTTGGACGGCGTGTCGCTCCGCTGGTTCTGGCTCACCACGTTTCGGCGCGACACGCTATCCAATTCCGTGTCCCCCAGCCTCGACGTCCCGAGCTTCCCGGAGCCTCCCGCCCCGCGGAGCGGGGCGACATGCTGTCCGCTCGCAAGGGATGAGCGTGTCGCCAGGGCCGCCGCCGCGACACGCTGAGCAAGAGTTTCCAATCGCAGCTGCTGTCGCTCGTGGCAGCCAGCCGCGCTCGGATGCAAAAGCGCGGGCGTGACGACAGGCCGCAGCCCAGTCCTTCCAGCGATCTCGTTGGCATACCGTAGGCTTGCGCCACGCTGGGTTTCAGGCCAGAGGCCTCTCGGATGCCGGTTGGGATTTCTTGGGAGGCCTTTCGGAAACCTCTTGGAGGCGGTCTCGGGGTCGTCTTGGGGCAGCTCGGGGGCCTCTTGGGGCTTGGTTTGGGGCTTTCGAGGCCTCTTGGGGGCCTCTTGGGGCCTCTTGGGGGTACCTCGGGGACCTCTGGGGGGATCTTGGGTCCATCTCAGGGTGGAAGGCTCGAACTGTCAGTTCGTGTTCCCCCTCTTGGGCCTCTCCTGGGACTGTCTGGGGGGCCTCTTGGGCCCATCTTGGACGCTCCGAGGACCGAAGAGGCGGCAATCGCTGCCAGAACTGCTCGAGCAGTCGGTCGATTTTGACGATTCTGGCACATTGGGCCGCGCTCCAGGGCCTGCAAGACGGCACAGGATCGGCGGCGAGCGAGGGGGGAAGGGAGAAGGAGAAGGCCTTCTCGTCAGGAGGGGAAAACACACACAGACACAGTTAATCCTCGATTCCCCAGAAAATATGGGCAAATATGGGAAGCGGGAGGGAACACAGAAACCCAGAAAATATGGGAAAATATGGGGAATTCTTTTATTTGTGTGTATTTATTTGTGTGCCCCAGGGCCCCTTCAAAAGCCTTCTCAGAGGGCGGCGGGACTTCTCAGAAGCCCCCGCGCCTTCTGAGAAGTTTTTATGTGTCTTCCGGGAGGGCTTAGAGAAAACTTCTCAGAAGGCCAGGGGGCTTCCGAGCCTTCTGAGGAGCCCCGCCCCCTCTCGCTTCCCCCCCTCGCTCGCCGCCAACAGGAGGCGCCCAAGATGGCCCGCGGAAGGTCCCCGGGGCCACCCGGAGCCGTGCTGGACGTGCGCGCCCCGGGTCACGCGCACTCGGCCTCCCGAGAGGTCGCGCGGGGCATCCCCGAGCTCGCGCCCGGGGCAGCGCGCGCCCGCTGCCGCCGCCCTCTGCTGCCGCCGCCGCCCTCACGACTGCCTGCGCGGCCACGCTTGGCTGGGAGGGCGGTCGTTTTTTTTGTTGGCTGGCTGGCGCTCTCTCTCTTGGGAATCGCGGGGTGCTCCGCGTGCTCGCCCTCTGTTCTGGATTTTCTGAAGCGTCGCCAGTCGCGCGCTCTTCCGCCCACGCGTCCCGCAGGATGCACGGCTTAGTGGTGGTGGTGGTGGCTGGCTCTCTGGCATCTCGGCTGATTGGCGTGCTGTCACTGGCAGTTGGCAGTTCGTTGGGGCCGCTTGCTGCCTGGCGGCTGGCTGCGCGCGTCTCGGGCGGGTGGCCCCGGGAGCGCGCTCCCACTGCAGTCTGCGAGGGCCCGAGGCCTCGGGAGCGCGCACCTCTAGCTATGCACGAGGACTCGTGGCCTCGAGTCCAGGGGGGCCGAGAAGCACCCAAGTTTTTTTTTTTTTTTTTTTTGTTGTTGCTTTTTTTGTTGCTGTGGAGAGGGGCGGCGCTTGTGGGTGGCCTCGGCGACGTGTGTTCGTGGCCTCGGGAGCGCCAGCGCAGTTTCCGAGGCTCTGCGGCTTCCCTGACGCATGTGGCGCGATTTTTAGGGGAGTGTGGCGCGGGAAGCGCAAATCTGGCGAATTTGCAGGGGCCGAAGCCAAATTAGGGACGAGGAGTGGACGTCCGAGCGATAGCAGGTCCAGGGTCATTTGGAATTGGAATGTGACCTCGAGGGCGCGAGCCCGTTGTCGTTCCTTGGAGGGATTGTGGTCTGGGGGCCTGGCTCGGGTGCAATTGCAGAGGATTGGGGCCTCGGGGTTCCGATTCTGGTGTCCTTTCAGAGGCATTGTGGCGTGGGGAGTACGAGCGTGTTGTCATCTGCCAGGGTTTGTGGCCTGGGGAACGCGAGTCTGGTGTCACTTGCAAGGGTTTGTGGCCTGGGGGTCAGCGCGAGTCTGTTGTCATTTGCCAGAGATTGTTGCTGGGGGGAGCGCGAGTCTGGTGTCATTTGCCAGGATTTGTGGCAGGGGGAGCGCGAGTCTGGTGTCATTTGCATGGGTTTGTGGCCTGGGGAACGTGAGTCTGGTGTCACTTGCAAGGGGTTGTTGCAGGGGGAGCGCGAGTCTGGTGTCATTTGCCAGGGTTTGTGGCAGGGGGAGCGCGAGTCCGGTGTCATTTGCGAAGGGTTCTGGTTTGGGGAGCGCGAGCCTGGTGTCTTTTGCAAGGGGTTGTGGCTTCGGGAGCTCGAACCTGTTGTATTGCGAAGGCCCCACGGCCAGTGTCGCCGACCCTGAAGGGGGACGACAACGGCGGCGGCGGCGACGACGACGACGCTGTCGGGGGCCTCTTCGGACGGCTTTCGGGGGCCTCTGGGGGGAACTTCTGGGGCCTCTTGGGAGCGAGCGCGAACTGTATGTTGCGTGTCCCAGCACCCCCCAGGAATCCTGAGAATCTTCAGCGGGGAGGGGCCGCGGCCGCGTTCCGAGCCAGCCCTCCTCGCGCTGCCTTCAGTCGTTACAGCAGTGGAACTAGAACATCGGAAATCGAGAACCCGTAAGGGCTTCGCCCCCTGCCGCCGGCCGCTTCTCTATCAGGACGGGATCTGTCAGAGCCGCGTTGGTGCGTCTCGGTGCTGCCTTGGCGCATCTGGGAACATCATGCCAGGGTGGATAGGTATCGTCAGCGCATGTTGAGACGTTGGCGTTATCGAAGACGCCTGCGGCAAATCACCGCCGCCCCCTGCCTTTTGAATCGCCACTGTGGCTGAGCGTTGTGGCAAGAGCTCTGCCAAGCTATCGGGCCATGTGTTTCCCCGAGCCCTGGGAGAAACCCTTCGGGGAACACTTGGGTGAAGATGGCGGGGAAGATCAGGAGGAGGAGGAGGAGGAGGCGGAGGCGGAGGAGGATGAGGGGGCATCTCGGGAGCCTCTGAGGGCACTCTTGGGAGTCTTTTGGAGATATCTTGGGGTGGCCGACTGCGCCTGGAGACGCCGGCTGATCTCCCTGGAGTCTTTGGGGAGCCCGCGTGAGTCAGGAGCCTGCTCCTGATTCATCAAGAAAACACTGCTTTGAACATGAACAACATGAACTTTTGGCGCTCCGCGCGGACTTCTTGGATCCGCGCTGGCCCCTCCTGGCGGCGCCTCCGGCGCCCCCTCCCTGGCGCGCCAGGGAGGTGGGTCCAGCGCAAATCCAAGAAACCCGCGCGGAGCGCCAACAGTTTATGTTTATGTTTTTTGTTCTTCTCCTAATGGTTCACGTCGTTGTCGTTGTCGTGCTCTCGCTGATGCCGAGCCCGCATCTTCGTGTCGGAGGGACCCCGGCCATGCCAGCATCGCGCCGGTCTGGGGTCCTTCTCTGTCACGGTCGTGCGCACAGATCATTTGGGAGGGCTAACTGGGGGTGCCCCAGACCCCCTCTTTCTCCGACGCCTCTTTCTCTTCCGCCTCCTGATCTCGGCTTCCGGTTTTCCCCGTCGCTGCTCAACATCTCGACAATTGGTTGCAGGTTGTGGCGCGTCTTCTCCCTCCTGGACTTGAAGGGTTGCGGCAAGGTGTCCGTGTTCGACCTCAAGCGGGGCGGGGAAGACTTCAGAGCATACGTGATAGGCCGTTCGGAAGACGGGAGCAGACTCAGCTGGAGGCTGAGGAGGTGAGTGTGTTTTAATATTAAAAAATCGTGGCCGTCCATACCAGACATGTAGTTGGCATGGATCATGATGATGATGATGATGATGATGATGATGATGATGATGATGATGATGATGATGAGGATGAGGATGAGGATGAGGATGAGGATGATGATGAGGATGAGGATGAGGATGAGGATGAGAGATGAGGAATGAGTGATGATGATGATGATGATGATGATGATGATGATGACCATGATGATGATGATGATGATGATGATGATGATGCTGATGATGATGATGATGATGGTGATGATGAGATGATGATGAGATGATGATGATGATGATGATGATGATGAGAGAGGAGGAGGAGGAGAGGAGGAGGAGGAGTGGAGGAGGAGAGGATAGGGTGGAGGCGGCGGAGGAGGAGGAAGAGGAGGAGGAGAGGAGGAGGAGGACGAGGACGAAGACGAGGAGAGGACAGGAGGAGAGAGGAGGAGGAAACGAGGAGGCGAGGAGGACGCGAGGATGGGTGAAGACCAGGGGAGGGAGGAGAGGAGGAGGAGAGGAGGGAGGAGGAGGAGGAGGAGGAGGAGGAAGAGGATGAGGATCAGGAGAGGAGGAGGACGAGGAGGAGAGAAAGGAGGAGTAGGAAGAGGAGGAGGCGGAGGAGGAGGACGAGGAGGAGGAGGATGAGAATCAGGAGGAGGATGGACGAGGAGGAGGAGGAGGAGGTGGACGAGGAGGAGGAGGAGGTGGACGAGGAGGAGGAGGAGAACGAGGAGGAGGAGGACGAGGAGGAGGAGGAGGAAGACGGAGGAGGAGGAGGCGAGGAGTTGGGTGGAAGACGAGGGGCCGAGAGAGGGAAGCTTGGCGAGGGCGGGAGGGTCGTCTACGCGGTCATCCTCAGCAAGTGCCCGCACCTGACGAAGCGGCCGTGGGCGGAGCTGCTCAAGGCCGGCGGTGTCCGGCCGCCGAGGGTGTTTCCCTTCTCGGGCGACGAACTTCGACTACACGTAAGAGTGACCTTTCGCCGGAGTGACCTTTGGTGCGGGCACAGATGGGTCCCCTGATTGTTGAAAACGAAGCAGTAGCAGCTGCTTGCGCGCCCAGGTTTGGCCCCCCTGCGGCCCCCCCAAAAAATCGCGCACCAAAGGTCACTCTTACCCAGGGTCACTCTTGCGTATAGCCGATTTTCGGGCGACGAACTATACACAGCCACTGCTCCCTGGCCAGGCCCAGCCTGAGCCTGAGCGCAGGAGCTGTGCACACCACGGCTGCTGGGTTCCGGACGGGCCCGTCCAGGGAGGAGCGGATGTGCATAGGTGTCGTCGCTTTGGGCGCGCCGCGGTTCGGCGGCGAGCGCTCGGGGGGCTCGCGGTTCGAGGCTCGAGGTGCTCGGACCTCGTCGTCGGTTCGCGGTGGCTTGCCAGTCTGGGGATGCTTTCTTGCACGTGCGCCTCGCCGACATCGCTCTCCTGTCAGGAGGAAAAGAAACACACAGACACAAGTAATCCTCGATTCCCTACAAAGTATTCGAAGATATGGGAAGTGGGGGGGGAGACAGACACCCAGAAAACATGGGAAAATATCGGGAATCATTTTATTTGTGTGTGTGTTTCTTTGTGTGTCCTGGGGGCCCCTTCATCCTGGGGTGCCCAGATCGCCCCGAACTCTGCCGCGCCCGAGAGCGGAGGTCTGGCCCACGGCCCCGCAGGCCTCCGAGGGAGGGCGGGCTCCTCGGAAGGCTCGGGAGGCCTCCTGTCGGGGGTGGGCAGAGCTCCTACCCTGTCGGGGATGGACAGACCTCCCTTTAGTAAAACGTGGTTTAGTGAAAACAACTTCGGGCCCAAACCTGGCGGGCGCAAGCCTGGAAAATAACGGCCACGGAGCCCTCTCGAAAACCGAAAACGGACAATTCACTAATCGACGTGTCACTGTTGGGGGTTCTGTCCTGACACGTCGACTAAGGAACTGGCCGTTTTCGCCTCGCGAGAGGGCGCCGCGGCCGTCACTCTTGCGGGCCCGGGTCTGTCGGCTTCGGCCCCCGGCCGAATTCGCTGAGGGGAGGTCTGCGAAAGGGGGGCTTGTCCACCGCCGATCGTGGCTTTTTGAGAGGCTTGCTTGGTCATCGCTCCGACGACGCACAAGTCTTCTCGAAGGGCCGGAGGGCTTCTGAGAAACGCCGCCGCCTTCTGCGACGGCACGCCCACTCTCACTTCCCCCTGGGCGCGAGGCCGAGCAGTGGCAGAAGTTGCTCTGTCTGTCGCTGTCTCTGTCTCTGTTTCTGTCCCTGTTTCTATCTCTCTCTGTGTTTCTCTCTGTCGCTCTTTTTGTTGTTGTTGTTGTTGTTGTTGTTGTTGTTGTTGTTGTTGTTGTTGTTGTTGTTGTTGTTGTTGTTGTTCTTTCTCTCTCGGTAAGTCACCATAGCTGTCACAGTTGCGGATACGAGTGTGGGGGCGGCGGGGTCGTGGGCACTCTGCGAGGCTTTGCGGAAAACCGCCTTAAACAAGAACAAACAAGTAAATACAAATAATCAAAACACATCAAAATTATCATACATGATGCAGAACGAGCCCGCCGCAGTCGCTGATTGGTTCGTCAACGCAATGCGGGTTGGTCGCGGGTGGGTCGTGGGGCGGTCGCAGTCGCGGGTGGGTCGCGGGCGGGTCGCCGATAGGTCGGGGGGGCGGTCGCGGGCGGGCCGCGGGTGGGTCGCGGGCGAGGGCGACCCCAACGACAGCAGCAACAACAGCAACAACAACAATAGCAGCAGCAGCAGCAACAACTACAACAACAACAACACCAACAGCATCACCACCACCGCCACCAACAACAACATTAATTGCATTGACATGTTTTATGATTCTGCATGCAGCATACATCCATCATGATAGCTCCCCTCACATGGGGGTCATTTCTTGCACAGGGGGTCCGATATTCCTTTACCCAGCTTTCCCGCCAGAGGAGATCTTGACAACACCTCTTCCGAGGCAGTTCAACATTCAGCTAAGACGGCACATCGCCTTTGCAATCGCCCTGCCCATGCCTTGCTTCTAGGTGTCACCACGCCCGAATGGCCAACAACTTTTTCGGAGAAACCCCGCAACCGTTGGGAAAACCCCGGGGCCCCTTGGACAGCCTTTGGGGCCACTTGTGGAAAGCCCACGAAGCTTCTCAGAGAAGCCTCGGACCCCCTGTGGGAAACATGAGGGCCCCTGGGAAACGCTGTTAAATTTAACTGGATGATTTCGGGGGATCGTGAATGAGGCTTCGGGGTATTTTCGGAAAGGGCTTGGATCGGAAGAGCGTCTGGGCCCCGTGGGAGGAAAAGCAGGAGGTAACGTGCAGGCCGGAAAAGCGGGCGCATGCGGCCAGGTCGAGCAGGCGGGTTGCTGAGTCGCGCGTCCTGCATGACTTGCGAGGAAGGTCCGAGCGATCGCGCGATTCCGGAAGACGTCATGAGGAAGTCCACGGCGAGAGCGTGGCTCCTGAATGTCGAGGTCGCGGCGTTTGAATACATTGCGACGAAATCCCGCGCGGGAGCGCGATTCGGGTATAAATTGTGAGGACGTCCCCGCGAGAGTCCGATTTGGGGAACCGTTCTTGTTATTGTTGTTGTTGTTGTTGTTGTTGTTGTTGTTGTTGTTGTTGTTGTTGTTGTTGTTGGTGTTGTTGTTGTTGTTGCTGTTGTTGTTGTTATCGTCGTTGTTGTTGTTGTTGTTGTTGTTGTTGTTGTTGTTGTTGTTGTTGTGGTTGTTGTTGTTGTTATCGTTGTTGTTGTTGATGCTGTTGTTGTTGTTGTTGTTGTTGTCGTCGTTATTGTTGTTGTTTTCCACGTTAATATTGAGTTCTCACTGTTGAAAAATGACCCCAATGCGACCGTACCTAGAAGTTTGAGCCCCTAGGAAAGCAGCATTCGTTGCTATGCTATGCTATGCCATGATATGCTATGCTGCGCTATGCGATGCTATGCTATGCTATGCTATGCCATGCTATGCTATGCTATGCTGCGCTATGCTATGCTGTGCTATGCTAGATTATGCTATGCCATGCTGCGCTGTGCTATGCTATGCTGTGCTATACTATGCTATGCTATGCGATGCGATGCTAGACTGCGCTGTGATATGATATGCTATGCTATGCTATGTTATGCCATGCTGTGCCATGCTATGCTGTGCTGTTGTGCGGTGCGATGCTGTGCTGTGCTGTGCTGCGCTATGCTATGCTATATTGCGCTATGCTGTGCTATGCTGGGCTTTGCTATGATATGCTGTGCTGCGCTGTGCTGTGCTACGCTCTGCTATGCTATGCTGTGCTCTGCTATGCTAGAGCTCGGCGATGCTAAGATGAAGGTGAGCTAAACTAAGATGAGCCTGAGCTAAGATGAAGCCAAGCTAAGCTAATATTAATTAGGCTAAGCTAAGATGAGGTAAGCAACGCTAAGCTAAGGGAGCGTCACTGGGGGAACCGCGGGGCGGATCCTGGGGGAACCGCCCGGGGCGGGTTGCACTGCCCGGCCCCTTAAGCAAACAGGGTAAGAACCCTTCTAGGCAGAGCCTAGGTAGGGAACAATTTTTGTTGATCCCCCCTCTGGCGACCATTGTGGCTTTTCATTGAAGTGCCCTTCCCGGGGCTCGCGCCTTGTTTTTTTTTAAAACGGGAAGTCGCTAGGCTCAAACTGGGCCCTTGTCCCCCGGATTACAGCAACAACGGCTTCCGCTGGATATTTCTTCACAATGTATTCTTGAATTTCCCTCGCGCGGGATTTCTTCACAATTCATGTACGCATCGCGCTCTCGCAGGGTTTTTTTTTCGCAATTTATTCAGACGCCGCGCCTTCGGCGCTCAGGAATCACGCTCTCGGTTTGCATTTTCTCCCGGTTTACTTGGGAATCGCGCTATCGCTCGAGACTGCTCCGCTATTCATGCAGGACTCACGCTTCAGCAACCCGCCTGTTCGACCCGGTCGCCTGGGCCCGCCTTCCCGACCTGCCTGCCATGGGTCTGCCCACCCGATCTGCCCGTCTGATTATACCATTTGTTCTCTGCTCCTTGCCCCCTCTCCTGTTAATTTTTCTCGTGCTCCGTTCTCCTCCCCCCCTCTTCCACCCGTCCTCTCTTCCCTTGTCTCACGGGCTGCATTACATGTGCGTGGCAGAAGACATACCCACAAGGAGTACAATCGAAGACGACGAGGGCGGGTACCGAGGGCGTGGAATATACGTATTGGTTGGCACGTGAGCAGACAGGAACGAATAATCTTACAGTGATTGTTGTTGTTGCTGCTGTTGTTGTTGTGGTTGTTGTTGTTGTTGTTGTTGTTGTTGTTGTGGTTGTTGTTCCCAACCATCCTGTGGTGTTGGGTCCTCGTTTTGAAGAGACAGCGCCCCGCGTCCCACCTCTCCTCCTCCTCCTCTCCTCCTCCTCCGCCCTCCTCCCTCCTCCACACCCATTTCGGCACACCCCTCACACGTTTCGTGGCCCCATAGGGAGCTCCACCGAAGGCCCCATGGCTGCCGTCCGCATGCGTCCCGCACACCCATTTCGGCACACCCCTCACACGTTTCGTGGCCCCACAGGGAGCTCCACCGAAGGCCCCAGTGCTGCCGTCCGCATGCGTCCCGCACACCCATTTCGGCACACCCCTCACACGTTTCGTGGCCCCATAGGGAGCTCCACCGAAGGCCCCATGGCTGCCGTCCGCATGCGTCCCGCACACCCATTTCGGCACACCCCTCACACGTTTCGTGGCCCCACAGGGAGCTCCACCGAAGGCCCCAGTGCTGCCGTCCGCATGCGTCCCGCACACCCATTTCGGCACACCCCTCACACGTTTCGTGGCCCCATAGGGAGCTCCACCGAAGGCCCCATGGCTGCCGTCCGCATGCGTCCCGTACACCCATTTCGGCACACCCCTCACACGTTTCGTGGCCCCACAGGGAGCTCCACCGAA